TGACTTTGAATAAATAATATTGACCTTTGACTAGTATGAAATGGGGTGTAACATTTGTGGAGAATATGTGTAATGCCCTGAATTCTAGCACCCCAATGTGTTGCCAAATAGAATTTCTTAATGGCCTTAAAATATAAATTTTAATATAATGACATTTGAGTAAAAATTGAACTAGGACTAATTAAAAAATTATAATGTTACTCCAAACTAATAAAATTCAACAAATAAGACAGGTCGTGACGATAATCCATTGGTTCGGCACATTCACTCATCCACCTCCATCCAATGTGCTAATTTTTACCTGATATTTGTAAATAGAGAGGGATTTATGCTGAAATTTTAAAGAATGAAACAAAAGTTAAAGAATGGGTTTTGTGGCAAACATATGTGCACGGTGTTGGTATTTATAGATAAAATTAAGGTATTTTGATTAGGATTAGGATTGTATCATAATCAATTAGTTATTATCCTAGATTATGTAGATAATGATTAATTAATTAGTTCAATTGCATTAATTATCAAATACATACAAGACTCGTATGACTTGTCTAAACATGAATGGTTATCCTAAATTGATTAATAATTAAATTTTAACTAAACTACAAACTTAAATGGTGATAAGCAAAATTAATTTAAGATAAATATAATATATTTATATCATTGATTTCCAAAACATTCTCGTCGAATTGAATAATCTTAATTGAATTTGTGATAATTAATATCAACATCCTAGTCAAACTGTATAACTATAACCTTAATTGGACTTGTAATAATTAATATTATTAATCATGGTTATAGCTGTTTCACTTTTCCAAAAACTGTATTGACCGAAAAATATGAAGGAAATGAATATGCATACTATTTCATTTACAATTTATTTTTTTCCTCTTTGATCCCTCGACTATTAAGAAAAAAATCATATAATGCAAATTAACTATTAGGCATAGCAAATGAACTTGCATATAGATTTACTAGACATGACATTCCTATTAACTGACAAGTAAATTATATGCAACACAACTAGAAAATTTGGGGTTCTAAAATGTGCGGTTAAAAAAAGAAAAGTTATAAATTTACGTGAAAAATATTTTATTGTGCGAATATATTAAAAATCAGTATGTAAAAAATAAAAAAGAGTTGAAAGTAAGCCGTCGAACAGGGGCTAAGTTTTCAAAAACATATAGACCTCGGGTTTTGATACCTTTCTACCTAATGCTTTAGATGAAAGTCACATTGTATTGTATTCCATGTCGTTCTTAATATGAGTGTGCTGGAAAACTGTTCATACTCAATAAAGCACAATGGAAAGGAATTTTAAAAATATCCATCTTTGGTTAAATATTTTGAAGAAGCAATGCAAATATGAAGTGGACATTAAAAAGCAAATATTGAAATTAATCCAAGCCAGTTTAAGTTACTACCATAAATCCAAAACAAATATTTAGCTAATGTTAACATATGATAAAAAGGGGAACATTTTATATAATACATTGCAAATAGAAGATATTAATAAAGAAAATACAAGATTCGAGATACAACCCTTTTTGTTGAATTTTTGAAGATGTTAAAGGCTTGAACTTGATTTTCCAAAATCTCTCTACATCCTTGAATATACTTTCCTTGTGCTTTTGATTTGCTCCAAAAATATCAAGAAAATGAAAAGGAAAAGGAAAAGAAAAGAAAGATGAAAGAAAGAAAAAGAAAAGAAAAGGAAGGAAAAGAAAAATGAAAGAGAGGAAAAATTGAAGAAAAAAGGAGATAGAATAAGGTTGCCGCTTTTTAACTTTAAAAATCTAGAGAATTTGCATCTAAGTCCCTAGATTTTGAACAAACAATAAAAATGATCCCAAGTTTTTTACATACCCATCTCTATGCCAAAATGAATCATTTCATTCCTTTTTTCTTTTTCCTTTGATCACAAGTCCTCTAGTAATTTGAACTAAATGACCCTTAGCTCTAATCTTGTACAATTTGGTCCTCAAATTTTGAATTTTTTCAATTACTCCCTCCATAAATTGCATCCAAGATCCTTCAACTTTCTACACTTATGCATTTTGGTCTCAACTTCACAATTTTTGTATGCCTTCGTCCTATGTTACTCCCTTTTGCCTTGTTCTCTTTTCATTTGAGGTTTATGACTTAGAGTCGATATCCGCTATTTTCATCAATAATAAGCATATTTATTTATTAAATAAGTGTGCAAAAACATAATTATCTGCCTTCCCATTTTGATGACCAAACATGCCTTGAAGAGTTTGGAATATGTTATGGAAGGTACTCTGACTTTCAAGCATTTCATTGCAGCATGTTTGACATTGAAGTCAAAATAAAACAGCTAGCCATCTTTTCTACAGTCTTCCACTCAATATATTCAACTTTTTGGACTTTTTATATGGTCTTTGTAGGTCTATCGAGACATCCCTAAAGCACAAAATTAAGTTATTCTGCATTGAGCATAAATATCAAATTACATTTTCAATCCACATATTTTATTTTTTTTAGATTAGTTTGTTTTGTTTTCGAATAACAGAAAACTTAGTCAAGTGATATTTCACATAAAAATAATCATATGTAGTATATTAAAATTGAGTAGCAAATAACAATTTAACATATGATCATGAATGCACATATAGATCCATCTAACTACAATAATGTAACAATTAATTGATCGTTGTGATTCAGTAGACCCCTCTACAGGAAATCTAACCGTGTTTACTGATAAAGTTGAAACCCTCCTACTAGATAAATCATATCTGATAACAATTTCTATATTAGTCTAGTATCATTTTATTTGGTTACCAAGATCATAAATAAGAGCCTCTGTAGAAGGTTTGCTGATGATCTCGATTTGAATGTATAGCATTTGTCTCAATCTCTAAAGACATGAAAATAATTTCACCGTCTATAGTATGATGTCAAATTATGCTTTATTTAGACTGCCTTATCATAGGAAAATCAACCAAACAATTCGAACTAAGTGGCCCTCTTATAGGGAATCCGTTGCATTATTGACACGAGGCAAGTGCATTAATTTGCTTATGGATTGATCAAATGAGACCTTAGACTTTTATTTAAATAAACGCCCACTTCACTCAATATTTTAAATTAATGAATTTTAATAATAAATAATAACCACATGTTCACATTAATCAAATTAAATTAATCAAGAATTTTTTAAATAATTATCAGCTATTCAAATAAACAAAATTAACATATAGTTTAATTATTAAAAATTTTCCTTCCAGATAAATTTACTTTAAATTAAATAATCAAGAAAAATATGAATAATTATCAACCATTCACATTAATCAAATCAATATGCAATTTAATTATCACGATTTTTTCATCCAAAAAAAATTAATCTAAATTAAATTAATAAAAGAAAAATCATTGTACAATGATATGCATTCTGTTTATCATATCATGATATCTAGAACGATAATATTATAAACAATAATTTAAAGTATTCATAAAGCGATAAATTGACAATTATTTATGGCCCAAAAGTCGACTCAAAAATTAAATTAAAAACTAATTTGACCTAAGCACAATACTTATTCTGAATTTTCAACCTAAGAATTTTCAAGGATCCAAAATAGTAATCCACCACCATACCTTTAAAAATTAATTAATTTTGTACCTAACTTATCTTGATTTGACTCGGTCCATACAAAACTAAACTTAGATCAAAGTCGACCAATCTATTGTACCAAACATAAGTAAAACGCTGATCAACTAGCAGCTGCCCAAGGCAGCTAGTGCTACTTTAACAGTTGGC